TCGCAGCATTTGGTCATAAATAAGATAAGTGTTTTTGGAAGAGGGCCTCACACCTCACCCAACTTTTCTGGGAGTACCCCTACCCCCTGGGAGTTCAACTGATGAAATTCTGTTCCTTGTGTGGAAATTGTGATTGTTTCCTGGTAAAATATGTTTTTAAAAGGCGTACATGCATTACGAGGTAGACACAAGAGAATCATAATCTCTTGGTAAACAATTAAACTGACACAGAGACAAAGTTTTCCGCCCCCCCGCCGTTCAAATAGTTGTACGTCAACCGATGAAATACACCACTCAGGCCTCGATACTCGATGCCGAATTAGTTGTTTGCGCGAATTTAAGTAGCTAAGTGTAGTTAAATCACAATAGGCAAATACAGGCAGGACCATAGCCCAGTAATTGCTTTCAGTGGCATGAGCAAAACATGTACAAGTAATGGAAGAATGAAATTTCCCCAATAGATTGACTCTCCCGTAATAGTCTTTCAGAGCACCTTCATGCCTTCAGGAATATATTGCAGCCTGATTTGAGAAGGTTCATCAACCCCAGTACATAGTCGCCCGACTGAGAATCAAGCTACGATCGAGTTTACAAGTCAATCAGTCAATCAACCTTTATTTAAAAACGATAGTTTTCAAAGCTACAGCGCTTGTGGGGTCGTTTAACAAAGGATCTAATGTGCTAATTGACACATAAAAATCTACAATTTATCTGAAACTTGAGATAGATACAATAGGTAAATTTAACTAAACTTCGTGTGGATTGCTATATCTTATAGAATCAATCTTTTAAGTGTCATGAATAAATAACATCTTCTGATCTGGAAGTGCATGTAGACGCAGATGTCACTTTGAATGCAAAATTCTTAAAAATTATCCAGAGATTTCAGTTTCTGCTTGAGACTGCTATAACAGGAGAAGCTGACTAATTGGCGATATTTGCTTGTCAAGTAGCTCCTGAGAGCAGCGCACCTCTGTGCGCGAGGGAGTCTTTCATGTAGCGGGTGTTGAAGCCCGGGATGGATGATGAAGTTGGTGCTCGCAAAGTATATCCTACAGGTCGTTTCGTTTCGATATGATGTGATTAGTTACTGAGCCTGAGCTGGTAATTTTTCTTGATACGCTTTGTGGATATAGATAAAGAAAACTGCAGATTTGTAACCAGAATACAGGTTTCACCATTGTGCTCGTTTAAGTACTTGGTTTGACTCCATATCATTAGAAAGGTTGAAAATAAGCCTAGCTGACGTTGCTCTACAATGGAGTCGTTCCAGAGACTGAAGTATTTCGCTGTTACAGCACGATCCCCGTAAAACGAGACCATATATAGGTCAATGAGCCGCAGAATCACTTTAAAATAGAGATCGATGCGAACGCTTCTGGGGAGGAATTTTGATTTCTTTAGTAAGGTTAGCTTGTTAGCAAATGTTTTCTTGAGTTGCAGTACGTGCAGAAGCCAGGTAAGCTTGCCATCGACTGTCATCCCCAATAGTCTTGATTTGGTCACCCAATTGATCACCAAGCTTTCTAGGACAATGGGGGTAAGGGGATCCGAGGTTTCCTCGACAGAGTAACATGGCCTCGTTTTATTTTGCTGTGATGAGGTATGAGTCTGTGAAGAAAGAAAAGTAAAGATATAAAGTGATGTTCTTGCTTATATTTAATGATAACTGATGTTAGAACTGAAAAATAATAATAATAATAATTGATAGGCTAACTTGATTCCCTTGTGTGTTCGTAAATGTCGACCAAACTATGACAACTTCTGATTCAATCCTTCCTCAAACAAAATCTCTTATTTCTTTGATTTTTGCCATTATTATCTCCATGGCGTTTTTCTGTCTAAGTAAGCTACCATTGTCAGGTTTTCTGCAATTTAAAGGTAATTTTGTACGTGGGTAAAATATCTCAAAATACCGTGACTGAACTTCTTTGAAAGAATCAAATTATGGATTTCCTCGCGCTACTCGCGAGCATTTGTTCTCACGCTGCACATGCATTTCACATCCTCATCGACTTCAGTTGTTTCGCTCTATTGCGACCTGAATGGGTCAGAAAAACGTAATGGAGAGGTTTTCATTGCTTGTACAATCGTCGACCAAAGCGTGAACAAAGCACACCCAGTAGCAAGAGAAACTGCTTTTCTCTTGCCAGTAGCCACAAGCATGCATGAACGTGAGCAAAACACGCAGACGCATATGTTTATAATTTACGAAAATCGACTTTAAAATGACTCTGGCACTACTATCCAGCTTACCAAAGCAGTTGAATACATGTCCTCCGCAGCTAGGAAAACTGGGAAAAGCATTACAGCCCTGAAATGAATTGTATAGGCATATAGGACCACACCGGTGCCTTCAGATGGGTTCTCAATGGGGTTATAATCGTTAGCCGTAAAACTGACAAAAAAATTTAGCCGTTGGATGAAACAAATGTTAACCGCAAAAAAAACAACAACAAAAAAAACAACAACAAAAAAAACACGAAAGTGAAAGTCTCCAGATCTCTTGTCTAACTGTGACTTTTTTTTTTTAGTGTCTTGCCTTGTGGCTTTTAAGCTATATTAATCTACAGATCCTATAATCATACCTATTTCCATCCTGGAATGGCCGTCTAAGACCTTCATTTTGTTTAACATTAATTGAAATAAATGTTTTAACTTTTTGAAATGATGAAAGTAAACTTTTAACTTTTCAAAATAATGTAATTAATGTCTACAATTTCTCTTAACTGTAACGAAAATAAATTAACCGTCAGCCGTAACAAGAGCAAAAACATTAACCGTTAGCCGTAATAACCAGTACCCCGTTGAGACTCTCAGACGCCTGATGTACAAGACAGCAGCTAGTGGAAAATTCAATCGATTCCTAGAATTCAGTGTTTGTTTATGCTTCAGTTCAGTGAATCGGAATAACATTAAAATTCATGAGATCTGTTATTATAAACGCCAAGGAAAGCAAAGATTTTCATCATATTATATCATCGGCTAGCGATTTATCATAGCAGATAGTAATCATAGCTGTAAAATCTGTCTACATTATTTCTCTACGTTTCTTTGCAAGTCGCGTCACGGGATTAAACAGGCAGTCAATGAACGCCTGCTAAGCTACAACTTAAGATTACTTCTTGACTTAATTGTTGACCAAACCTATAGCGTCGTTTACGGCCATCATGAAATTGCAACGGTTCGTCTTGGAGAGTCCCACATTACGCGAGGTCGAAAAGGTCCCACCGTACCTATCCAGTTACATTGTCACGAATATTCCGTTACTTTAAGCAGCTACATAATGAACATTAGATGTTTCAAATCGACCACAAATGTGTATTAATTTATACTTCCGCATAAATTTAATGCTTTGTGAAGGCGCATGTCATGACATTGCAACCGAAGATGGCGTCGCTGGAGACAATGGGCGAAGAAATTTCGGTGGGTGAAGAAAAGATTTCTCCTCATTTTGATAAGCTACTGAGAGATGTCACCGAAGAATTAAGCGCTGAAGAAATCACTAGTGCAGTAGCATCGATAAAGAACACTTTTGAGGGAAACTTTGAGGTTCAAAAAGAGCAAGACTTGTATTCTTGTCTACAACTGTTTACTCGTCAAGGGTTTTTGTCTGACCAAAATTTGACTCTGTTGGAGAGGTTTGTTGCGTGTAAATCGTCCAAGAAGGACGATATAAAGCAAAAAATTGAAAAATTCAAACTAAGCCGCCGACTGGAAGTTACACCAAGGCAGGAATTGAAGGGAAGAGAAACCGATTTGCAAGCTGTTATGGCTATATTAGCCGGAGAGCCTCCGATCGTCAATTTGTATGGATCTGGTGGGCTAGGAAAGACAACACTGGGCAAGGAAATTTGCCTTAAGTGGCCGGGAAAGTCAATGGCTGTCGACTTAAGGGGTGTAACGGAGATGAAAGACGTTTACTTTCACGTCATGCTGGCACTTGATCCTGAGAAAACCATCATAAAATATGACGAAAATCCGGTCGTTGAACAACTGCGGAAGTTGATGAATGAAAGCAAGAGTGATGTCTTGCTATCGCTTGACAATGTCGATCAGTTTTTAGGGGAAGATGGCCCGGATCATGCCACGATCCTGAACAAAAACTTGACGGGCTTTCTTAAGAGACTCCTTGATCACATGGCCAATGATGAAAAGCCACGATTGAAGGTACTGTTGATATCAAGACCGAGAACACGTTTCCACGGGATGTCCCTTGATGGAAAGGTTCAGTACCATGAGCTCAAGGCTTTGAAG